AATCTACCTTAACCAAAATCAAAGTAGACTATCACTCACCCACACCAGATGGAAAACTCTACAGACTGTATATATATATATTTAAGGATGGGGGGCTGGGAGGTGGAGGGGGGCTAGTGCACCTAACATTACTGTGTCCATCTGATTCCATGAGGATTCGAACTCATGATCTCTGTTTACTAAAGAGTTACCTGTGTCTATAGACTCTGTACCATATTTGCAACCGCACGAGCCGCACATTCGTACGGAGTTCCGTGCGGGGGGTGCCTGTGCGGAATCGTGCAGGTTTTTTTTTTTTTTTTAATTATTTTATCTTTTTTTAGGAGGGGGAACGGGGGGCCGTATGACAGGAAGATGGGGATATGGCGAGGAGAGGGGGATATGGAGAGGAGGAGGAGGATGTGGACGAGGAGGACAACAAGGAGGACGGCGAGGATAGCAAGGACGATGAGGAGGAGTCGAGATGGGGGAGGAGTAGAGATGGACGGAGGGAAAAGAGGAAGGGCAGGAGGAGGAGGATGAGTGGGAGGAGGAGGAGACATGGACGGCGAGGAAGGGGAGGACACGAGGAAGGGAAGGAGACGAGGAGGCATGGCAGATGAGGAAGTACGAGGAGGAGGAGGAGACAAGGAGGATGAGGAAGGGCAGGAGGTGGATGAACAGGAGGAGGAGGAGGAGGAGGAGGAGACGAAAAGGAGAAGGGAGGAGGAGACATGGAGGATGAGGAAGGGGAGGAGGAGCAAGGTGAGGCAGTACTCCTGTAATTTTTTTTTTCATCTCGCTTATAATTTTGGCGGGGGGCCTCAAACGCATTGTTTTGACCCCGGCCTTTTTATTTTTCTGAGGGAGGTGACAGGTCGTTCCCCGCACACGTCGTGCGCCGCACGGAATCGGTTGGGCGCGTGCGCCGCACGTAGGGAACTGCCCCCACGACGTGCGCTTGCAAGTATGCTCTGTACCATTCAGCCTCACATAGTGCATAGACTCATGATTTCTATTTACTAAGAGTTACCTGCATCTATAGACTTTCCAGCAGGGTGGGTTAATTAATTAGGGGGGGTTTCTAAGGATTGGGAATCAGATCCATCTACAAGCCGTTTCTCTGACACGCCTGCGAAAGAGGCCCCTTGATACTGATGTCGGTAAGTTTATCATTGTAGCCCATGATCATTCCACAGCCAAACGGAATCGAACCGGTGACCTCGGCTATAACAGCCAGATGCCTTTATCACTGGTTTAAGAAACCTTCATCTTCATGTGCTGCTATGACAACAATTCTTCACGTTGGAAAGAACGGACCATGGGAGGACGTTCTCTCTCTCTCTCTCTCTCTCTCTCTCTCTCTCTCTCTCTCTCTCTCTCTCTCTC